ATAATTATATTAACTATATAATTTAGTAAATATATTAAACTTTTTATTAAAAAATAACAAGAATTATTTTTTTTACAAAAAATATTGAGAAACTGATAAAAAAATCAAATATTATTTTGCAATTATTTTGTTTTTTATATTTGGAGCAAAGTATGTTGTATTTTTATTAGGAAAAATTTTATTTTCTAAATTTTTCATTTTTAATAATAACCTTCCTATATTTATTTCCTGAGTAAAAAAGCCAAAATAATCAACATAAATAGATTCACCGTGATCGCCTTTATTGGGGGTGTTTTTTTTATTCTAGTAACTTATAATTTTTTATTAGTTATAAATGCTTTCAAAAATAAAACTTAATTATTTAATTAAATTGTAATAAAGTGAACTATCCACCAATAAACGTTCATTATTCTTATGACTTTTAACATACTAAATATAATTAATATATATACTATAACATACTAATACGGTTGTGTGGTTGCTAAACTAGTTTAAAAGGAGATTTAGGGTATATCAAGGGTTTTACCCTTTCCTGAAATACAAAAACGCATTTAAGAAAACAGCTATTTCAGTCATGAACACGTGAATTAATGGGTTGGGCCTTCATCTCTTCTCCTTTCTTGTTGGTCTTGTGTACGTCTGTTTTGGTTCTGTTGAGAAGCGTTGAGGAAATTTTGACTCATTTGATAGAGCATTGGTGCGAACATTTCGATTTGTTGGAGTCGATTTTTTAAGTCTTCCCAACGCATCAAGTCGTTTTGAATTTCATGTCTGACCTCCAGTAAATCCTTCTCGACTTTATTTAAATCCATCCGAAGTGCAAAGACTTTACAGACTTCATTTTCCGACTGAAACGGCTGTGTTTCCACAGGCGGATTCTTCTTGTTTTTCTTTCTTTTAATTCTTTCAAGTAACAAGGGTTGTGACTTCACAAAGAAATCATGTGAAAAACAAAGGCCATTTCTACACTCCAATTTGTGAAACCCATAAATATTCAATTGCCGAACAAACGAAGCAATATTGGAGTGTTTGAAATGATAGGGTAAGACTTCACTTGAAAATCGAACACTGTCTTTGATCACAAATGCCTTCTCTTTGTGTTCTTGACTCCACCCAATCTATATATTAATTAATTTATTATTATAAATTAATAGATATATTTATATTATATCTCTTATATTTATAATATATCTACTATAAATATAATAGATATATTATAAATCAACAAACCAATTCAGAGTATTCAGGCGCATTAACTAAGGTGTATAACTTCGATATGAAAGGAGCACAATTGTGGAGGATTTCTGTTTGTTCGACATTGGCTTTTTGAGGAAGCTCTTGTTTTATAGGAATTAGGGGGTCTTGAGGAAATGACTGTGACTCACTTGTCCCACCACTTTGGTTAAGGTTTTGGAAATATAATGGAATGTCGTTCATTAAATGCTTTCTTTCTAGAAGATTCACTTTTTATAGTTCTTTAAAATTTTATTTTATAATTAGGTGCTATTTACTTAATTAATCGGGTTATGTTAATTTGATTCATTTTTTGTTAAATGATCGAACAAAAAACGATTTTTATATGTATTGTTTTATTAACTATCTCTTTTGATTATTGTATTCATAATTGTGTTTTTTCCTTCGAGTTTTTT